ACGATCTTTATCTCATACGATCATTTGGCGTACGATCATTTTCCTTGACGATCTTTAGCGAATACGATCTTTTGTCTATACGAGCATTATGTCGTACGATCTTTATCCATTACGACTTTTTGGCATACGAGCATTTTCCTTGACGATCTTCAGCGAATACGATCTTTTGTCCATACGATCATTATGTCGTACGATCTTTATCCATTACGACTTTTTGGCATACGATCATTTTCCTTGACGATCTTTAGCGAATGCGATCTTTTGTCTATACGAGCATTAGGTATGTCGTACGATCTTTATCCATTACGATATTTTGCATACGATCAACTGCCTACGATCTTCTGCCATACGATCTTCTGCTTTACGATCTTTTGTCCGGTTACCGAGTAAACATGTATGCATTTTTATAGGCCCGTTGGCCGTCGGGTTGATGACTATGGCTGCCGGTCGGCTGCTCATACAATGGTAACATTGAATTACGAATATGTAAATGGTGGCTGTGGGCAAAGAGGTTGGCCCGTTCGCTTGGTGCTAGGTTATGTCCTACTTCCCTCCCTAGGTGGCGCCAGCAGTGAGCGCCTGAAGGGATGCTGTGCCGCAAGGCTCCGTGCTTGATGTATAATGGATTATGTTGTTTCGCCCTCGGTACTTAAATAGAACAGTAATTTAGTACTCAACGATGCCCGGAGGTCCGATGAAGGCACTTCAAGTCTCGATTTTTTTTAGTCGCAGTGCCGTGATCGGTTGAGGGAAGACACGTAGGTGATACCCACTTGGCACTTACTTATTCCTAAAATAATTGGTGTGTCGCATGATTGAGTGTAACAAGTTACGGCCCATACGCCTAGCTCAAAAGTTGCTCCAAACACGGCATTGTTAGTTTATCATTAGGCATAAGTTATAGCTCCTACCTATGTATCTAAATACCTAAAGATAAAAACAGAATGTCGTCTGCGCTCGGATGCTGACCTTTCAGTTCGCTTTAACTATATACATTTTTTAGTTGCCCTTTGGACCTATTTAGCCACCATTTAACCTTTGTGGCGCATTGCGGCAGTGAACCAAATAAACTGGCCTTGACCTATAGAGAGCTTCCTATTTCCCGAGCAAAAACCCTGGCAAAATACAAGCGAGGTTCTTGTTCCATTGACCTTCAATAGCTCATTTCATATTTTTGACAGTAATAGCCGTTTTTCTGTCACGTTACCTACGCTCTCCTGTACGGCGAAGCGGATCTGTTTTGTGCTAGTTCTTGTGCTGAGCCGTGCCAGTTTTTCCATGGCTGACGACTACGCATAACGGGGCATTGACTGCGAGTACTACGCTCTGGAAAGCCGCTCTTTCTCCCCAGCAAAAAACTGACAATATCAGGACTAATTTACGACAATCCCGAGGCTTTGCGAAATTAGAACACGTATGCAGAACAACGCCACAAAATAGGAACCAACACTGCATCTACTCTGCTCAGGAAGCAGTGATAAAAGAGCCACTCATGAGACCGTATCTTATACGGCACACAAAGGCATTCATTGAGCACTTTTAACGTTCATATGCGAGAGTTCATCAGCTAAAGAACTATGGCGTGCTCTCTCCACATAAGCCCCTTTGTTTCCGATTCAATTTTTCGTTTCACTCTTCATTCACCCTTTTACCCCGTTCACTACACCTGCACAACCTGACAAAGTCCACTGACCCTGGCGCGCGAACAGCTCACGCACAAAAACGCGCACAAAAACGGGCTCTGGTACGCTGGAATGTCGCCTGTTCGCGGGGGCGCATCCCTCGACCAGGCCGGCACCTCACCGTCCCATGCATGTGGCTTCAGCTACAACCTGCACGGTCGGTGTCGTAGGCTGAGGTACGTACAATTCTCAGTGATCAGAGTCTGTGCTCAGAAAGGAACCGTTTTCGGTTCTAGACTACTTTCCCCAGCCGAAGGGAGGGGACGCTGGTTGTCCACTCCTTGACGCTTTTCCGCGATTTTTTTTTTAGAAAGCATTAGCGATAGAGATATGAAAGTTGGTAAACATGACCTTCGATTCAAGCCGAATGGCGTGAAAATAGTCACATTTTCCGTTCACTGGTCTTTTCCTCATAAGTGAGCCTCGGCGAGGCTAAAAATGGTCGTAACTTTGCATGAGTTAGCTTTGACGTAGACTTCACCCGGTGTCAATTCTCAAGTTGACCGTTGAACTGATAAGTAGTGCCGTTTAGGGTTTAGGGTCAACCGCTGACTTTAGACTGTGAACTGACCTTAGAGCCTAGAGGTGACAGGATGACCTGAGACCTAAAAGTTTTTGTCTCGTTATTTCTTCTTGTAGCAACACAATGCCCATTTATTTCTTTTGTCAAAGCTCTAGCTCAGTTAGCAGGACATCGACGAGGGATTTTTATCTATCATAATGTTGTCCAGTTCTCCCCACCCTCCCCCCCCAATCTCCCGTGCCAGCTGGGCCGGATATATCAATACCTATGTAGATGACCGATGGGCTCGGAACTCAATGAGTGCTAATTTTCTGCCCAACATAATCCATATTCAGGCTTGTTGTGCGAGTCCAACTGAGAAAACCAAAACCTCTATCTTCTCGCCCCACCAAAAGCGTTCACTTGACTGGGCCTGGCCACTGGCCAGGACTGACCAAATACACTCGTCTCGCGGCGCGGAGCTGCTACGTATTACAGCGACACCTACAGTAAATGTTCACCCCTTGGCAGCGCCATCTACAGTAGATGGCGGTGCAGCAGACGGCAGGACACCGAGGAAACCAAGCTCCTAGTTCACGTCCCTCCCGCTAGGTGGTCATCAGCTTTTTTACGCCGGACAAGTGTCCTACGGAGAAATAGACTGGCTGTCTACCTGAGCCGCGCGAAGTGTAGGGAAAGGGTTTCATGCGCCTTTCCTAAGAATTTTGTCTGAATTTCTACAAAAAGGTATTTGCGGTTTGCAAATATTTTTTTTTTCACACACATGAATACGATGTCAATTGTCAACCCTACTTGACATGAGGTCAGGTCAGGTCACTTAAGTGACCTCACAAAATAAGATGAAATGCTCGTTTCAGTCAAAAACTGAATAATTTCATTACACCATTAACTTTGGTTACGAATGACGTGCACGAATCGTATACCTATCTGCTTTTTACATTGATGATCCAGGGTCAGGACAAATGAGAAACTCCTCGTTGTAGATTGATCGATAACAAAATGATGCTCTGCCTCTTTCGGGTAAAAAACATGCTAGCGTGGTATCGCTAACAAGGTGTTTAATGAGCGTTAAATTGAAATATTGCACATTAACTAACCGCTTCAGCTTTATCTCGGTTTTGCTGGGTCGTGAAATGGTAACCTTTTTCGACAAAAGTAAAATTTCGACATTGACATAAATGAGCGGTGAAAATCCTTATATTCTAATATTCAACAGCATAAGGTTCTTTTAGATCCCCAACCAATTTTCTGGTCATGTAGAGCTTGACTCAGATCAAATTAACAGCTTATCTTTTACAATTGAAGGCATATAATTATTTGACTCTGTTAAAGGGACTATCCCACCTTCTAAAATGTTGTTAAAACCAGTTAAATTGTGCCCGACTTTATAGATTGGATGACCAGGAACACGGTTCTGGCATTTATTTTTCATTAAACATCTTAGGCTTCCCATATTCCAAACACAAACTTTCAAATATGTGACGTCACAGCCCAAAATTACCTCCTTCCTCAGGCCACATTACTGTCATAAAGCTGATTCTTTTTACTCTGTAGGCACCACAACAAAGTTCAGACCAAGTTTTAAGCGATTTTTCAACGAACAAACCCATTTAAATCAGAATGACTAAACGAGGTGACGTCACACTAACGGTCGCTCCATGTTGAAGATAGGGCCTTGTACAAGGCCCATTTTCAAATGAAGGGAACGAATTTCTTCAACACCAAGAGGCCGCGGGGGTTGCAACATAGATAGATAGTGGTTTCTGAACCTCGCCGCAAACTTGGCTATCTCAACTCAAACCCCATGTTAAAGGTGGGATAGTCCCTTTAACAAGAAAACCACGATGGTAATTAGATCCATATCTTACTAATTTTTCATAGAAATTTGTTCCTCAAGTGCCTAAATACGCTTCCCGCAAAACGTTGTTATTGGTTTTCCTCATTAGTCCAAACCGCCACCTGAAACCAACCGTCGACCTCTGCAGTAAAAGGACGGTTTACTCGTATTGTAGCTCGAGACCTCGAGCTCCCTCGAGCCAGGATCGCTGGCTCGAGACCCCGCGATCCTATAAATATTATGTTACGCCTTTTCCAAATTTCTTCTCATTCTAGGATGAGAGTAAGACTCAGCTTGTAAGAGGGTGTATATGGTTTTAGCTAGCACCTAATCCTAGATTTATATTTTTAAATGATGCCTAAATACTATGATGGAGGAAATCCATTTAGAAAAATCGGCTGAACTTGTGCCATGGAAGCGTAGCCATTATTTTTTAACGCTCAACAGCATACGTATGTTCTAACTGATTCTCATTTACCTATACCCTTCCGATTACGTCGTGACCTCGACTGGAATCAAATTTAACAACTTATCTTTTACGGTTAAATCATATTATTTCTCACTTTTGTCAACAAGAAAACCAGCTAATACTGACAACCACAAACGATTAATTATTTCGTGACGTGCTAACTAGACAAAAATGCCGCCTGCACATCAACTTTGAACAGCCATTTGTTGTTTGGCTGCGAGGTTAACTCGTTGCGCCATCGCAAAGCTAATTATAATTCTGAGGCAAATATTTTGAACGCTTTTGTACGCTCTCAAAAATTATTTATTTGCTCCGAAATACCTTTTTGACACACGTCCCCGAAAAGCTTTTAGCTTTTGTATTCTTGAAAATCGGAGCAGAATTACCCAGAAAAGTTAGCCTGTTACTGAGGCTGCACTGCAACCAAACCCAGGGAAGCCCTGTTGTGACCAGCCCAGCGGGTGCCCCGCTCTGCGGGCGGAGACTCACCTGTCTCAGACGAGCGCAGTCCGATCCCCCGCCGCTGCAGCCCGCAGCGCTCGCACAAGTTGCAGTCGCGTCCACTCGCCACCGACAATCTGGGGGACTGGGCCAAACTCCGGCAACGCAGAACGCCAGCGCGCAGCGCGGCGCCCTGCAAAAAGCCCACAAAAAACCGTCTAGACGACACACCAACGCCCTGTTTTTGCAACCGTTTTTGCCACCTGCACTGACGCACCGGTCAAGGCTATTTTTTTGTTGCTGTCTGGTCTGGGCGCCAGTCGGCGGCGGCTAGGCGGCGACTTTCGTCATTAGATCGGCCAGGCCGACGGCAAAAAGCACCAGGAGACCCCTCCCCGCGGCCCGGCGGGCTCGCTAATGATTCACTGGGGTTCCGGCCGACTCGACGCACCTACACGAATGCCGCCCGCGCCAGACAGCGCAGCCAGTCTCAGTCAGACGGTGAAGTTTTTTTATCATCAGTCGATGCTTTTTTACTCTCCCGGTGGAGTTTTTACCAGACGGCGGCGGCAAGCCAATCCCGACCGGACGGGAACAGACGTGACGTCATCGTCACAACAAAAACCCGCGGCTCTTGTGCAGTGTCTAGACATGGTGACCTTGACCATGACCTTGGCCGCCACACTGCGGCCGGCGCGGCCGGTGGGTGGTGGCAGTGTCACATCACCTGATCAGGACAGGGCCGAGGGCTTAGAGCAAGGACTGCAGTCATCAGCTACAGTCAAGTTAAAATTTAAATGACAGGCTTGGATTAATTTGCATTTAGCATGACTATGAGTAGAAATCGCAGTCAGTTATATGGCCCCATGGCAATGGCAAATGGCCATGTATTCTAGGTAAATCATTGAAGGCGTCATGCAAAACTACATTGATGATCGCAATACCGACGAGCAGCTGTCCATTACTTTTGTTCCGCCTATTATGTACATTCCATTCAGCTCCCGGCGGCGAGCGCTTTCTTCAATACTGTACCGCCGAGCACTCACGTAGTGCGGCACAGTATACCACCGCAGGCATTTACCAGTACTGCATTTGCAGCGTGGATCGTAACCCACATATTACACGATGCTTTGGCATGAACGAAGGTGATGAGATGGTGGGTGAAAGGTGGGAGGTAGGCAAACCCATCAAAAGGCTAGAATGGAAGAGGTGTTAGCTGTTAAATTGAGACCTGACGAGGAGTCAGAGAGGAAAACGTAAGGAAGCATCATTCGAAAGAAGATATTCGCATTCATATTCCCGATACACTCCATCAGCTTATAGAATGGTGTGAATCTACGCTATTTGTTTCGTTATTCAGCTTCTTTAGAATAAGTTTCCTTAGTGAATAGTTTTATTTATATTATAATTCTTCTGAATTCAAAAGTACCCGTGAACTAGACTCGTTACACTTGTCCTTGGATGGCTGAAGGCGGCTTGTCCTGTCATACTTTCACCAAGGCTGTCTGGGTGCCACTTTTTGTGCACCTCTAAACCATGGGAGGTCTGGGCTATTTTCTGTCGAAGGCATTACCTACTAGTATTTCTGAATTGCTTAGTTGAAGTAATTGTTTTTATAGTTTGTAAATATGGCATGCACTGCTATAGCTTAGATGAAAAAAGTTATTGCAATAGCGTTGCCAATCATAAATGAGCCAGCTGTCACCTAGAAAAGAGATACCTAATTTTTGTAATCTGGCTTTTGTCAACTATTGACTCATACATGTGTAGTGTGTACCGATGTTTTTATTTGAATTATTTTTCATTGGTCATTGGTTCTGATTGTGTTTTGCGAAAACTTTCACACAAAGTTATATAAAACTGGTCAATATTTTATGTCACGCTATAGGTAATTATATATACCTTATATATACCTTATACCTTCTGATTATGAGCATGGGCGTGGCCAATACTTATATAAATAGTAAAGATTAAAAAAGATATACCACTTAAAGTTTACCCTAATACAAGCTACAAAACATATGAATAAGTTTCCAGAATTATTCAATAAACGATTGATTGTATTCCCCCGACTAATAAGTGGTTATCGCGGGCAGGCACCGTGTTGCCGATGCGACCTCCCGACCTTCCTCAATCACCTGGTGGAGCGTTCGGCGTTCGCGCCATACTTTTTGCGGCGCCGCGCGTTTTTGTCATCAGACAGCCCTCGGCCGGCAGCCCAGACACCAAAAAAGCTCTGTTCTTCATGGCCAAGGCCAGCGATCTGTGGCGCGAGTGGCCGACGCTTCGGGAAGCTCCGAGAACACTGTTCTTACCGGGAACGATTGTTTGCAGGATGTGCAATAATTGATGTGTCACCGGTTGGCAATAGATCAGACGTTGCCACCGCGTAATGACGAAGTGATCGGAGTGAGCTCCTGCTGATGTCGGGAGCGTTACGATCAGTCTGTAAACAACTAACTATTGCAACTAACTGCAGGCTTCCTCCGCTTCTTTCAGCGGTCGGTACCGTGGCCGGCGCCGGCAGAGGCACCCACCCCCGTGCCCCTGACCTCAGCCCCGCTGGGCGGAGGGGGAGCACTGCTGACCGGTCAGCCGCCGCCGCAGGGCATCTTCAGCAGCTGGGTATCCATGGTGGCTGAACAGATGGGTCACACAGAGGTGCCCTACCCCTGGGTCACCGCAGAGGTCAGTTCGGTGGATTAATTGGTGCCGTGCAGCTTGCCTTTGTAAAAGGTTCGTTCCTTCTTAAGCCCGAATAATAGATACACTCGATGCATTTGGATTTGCTTCATTCCACGCACTCGCCAATTTATTGACTATCAAGAGTAAATTATGCGAAGATTAATAGTTGCGTTTCTGGCAAAAAAATTGCAAGCATTTAATGCATTCATGGCATCCCTCAGAAGGTTCTCGCAGACAGCAAATTATATTGCGTCTTGATTCAACATTCTCTGGAACCAGACTGGTTGTAATATGTAAAACATGACTCGATATCAAACGGACGTTTGCTTGTTTATTTTCAGATGAAGGTGAACCCGGAGCTCTCGGTCAGTCTGAACCGAGGTAAGTGTATATAGTTGTGATGTGGTGGCACATTGCCAGACCCTTCATTACACCCACTCAGATTTGCACCTTTCCAGCAACATTTTGCTGTCATCAACAACCGGGATATTGTCCTCCACAACCGCAACTATGAGTGTCGTCTAATTGTCTTCAGTGATTCATAACCAAAGAGCATCAGCGCACTCCAAAAGGGCACCTTACACCCGTGCTGCCATGGTGTACCCCTGTGCACCCAGCCGTGCACGCGCAGCGCTCTGTGACGTCATAGTTCCCGGGACCGGGAGGAAATGCCACAGGTGGTAGCGGATATGGGACTCGCGTGCCGCCGGCCCTGTGCACGATGTAGCCTCGAGGCAGAGAATGACAGCGTGCTCTAAAGAGGAGATACCGCGGTATACGCCTGGCAGGGGGCTGGCGCCCGCCCGGCGCCATCCATCGCGTCGGGTCGAACCACGCTGTATGCGGGAATCGCTCTGATGGGTGTTTATAAAACTGGGCTGATAAGGCTCAGACGCCCGTCAGAAAGGGTGAAGACATACCTATGAACCGCAGGAATGCACTATGAGTGGCTGCTTTGTGGTAGTCAAATAGGCTTTAGGCATGCCGAAGCATATCAGGATGGGCGCTTGGAAGAGCAGTATGTCTTGCAGGCTGCAATTTGTGCGAAGTGTTGACTCCTTCTCCTGATAACAAACTTACTTTTCAAACTTTTGTTACGGGTTATGTCTACTGAAGGAAATTGAGTGCAAAATGATTGCTTTGAAGTAATGAACATTTCTAAAAAAAGATAATATTGAATCAGCTGAGGCCGAGGATGGTTTTTACCGACTATTATGTGTTCTCATCGCTGTCACGTCAGCACCGTTGTGGTCCAGTCCTGTTCCTGTCCCACCCTGACCGTCGATATCCCCCGCTAGGCGAGCTCGGGCCCTCGGCAGGACCCGGCTCGCCGTCTCAGGGACCACCTCGATCGCCCCGGGCGGCACAGCCGGCGCCGCCCAATCCGCGGACAACCGGCTCCGTGTCGACCAATCAGGGGCCGCCCTCGCCGCGCCCCAGGCTGTCAACAAAAACAAGCCGGTGCTGCCGGCGCTTTTTTGACTGAAGCGCCGGCAGAGGTTTTTTGACGGCGGAAAAAGGCTGCCAAATGCGTCCGGAGAGTGGCGGTGTTTGCGGTGCCGGTGCTGTGACGGGGAGAGGGGACCAGCATACCCCCGCTATCGAAATGTGGTCAGCTGACGGAGAGGCGCCGAATACAGATGGATTCCTCTACTCGTCCCGCTTCTTCATGGGTGAGTCAGAGGGAGACCCTCGGAGTCGGAGTCGGTGGCCGGTGACTCACTTACTGGCATCACGGCTCCGTCGACCGTCTTCGTAGCTTGGTGGTCGGTACTCTGAGGTCGTAGGTCACTGGTCATAGGTCACTGGTCACTGGTGTCTGGAGTCGCCCGAGAGATTCTGTTCCAGTCGCTGACTGCTCAGTCTGCTCCCATGGCAACGAGCCAACAAAAAAAGCCTCAAAACGCTCGGCCGGTTAAAAAATGTTGTAGCCAGCAAAAAGCATGTCTGGGGCGGGCAAAAAGCACGGATTGCGACATGGAGAGACGGTTTGGTCAGACCAGTGCCAGTCTGGTGGGCAGTGAGCAGGGGTTGTCTCCATGGACTTGTGTGCTCTCTGGTGCTCCTGAGTCCTGTAGCTCTCTTCAGTGCTCCCTCACCGCCTGCCTTCTCTCAGGAACCGAAATATCGGTGTTTGGTGTGTTATTGTGAGGAGGAGTGATTAAAAAAGCGACGGTAAAGTGTCAGTGAGGTGCACACAGCTTTATGACCCTGTTTAACATGTGGTGGCGCCCAGAAGATTACTATGGTAAGTCCCGGGATACCATGTCACTATACGGCTTGTATATTCTTATACGGCTTACGGAAGGTTCAAAGAGCGTGGTTCAGCTAGTGTCTGGTGCGCATTCGTGGCCAACATTCAACAACACGACTAAGCTAACTCGCCGGTGAAGCTGCAATGGAAGCTGCCTGTTCAAATAATATTTTGCTTTGGTTGTGATACAAAAGCTATTGAAGCTGAGATAGCGTAGGTAGTTAACTACATATATCGTTAAATTTGCTTTTGAATATTTAGATACCAGGTTGAACGATGATGCGTTCAACTTTTTTTCTTGCTTTATTAACTGCATTTGATTTTATCAAATAGCATCAATTTTCCCTATT